CCTTGATTTTTCCTTCTATGAACTTTTTACTTTTTTCCCCAGGAGCTGATTATTATCTAGCTGAAACGTATTTCCTTCTGAAAAGTGGGTTTGGTTTGGGTTTGGGTTTTTTTCCCCCCCTATTCACATAGACATCTCTATTGGGAACAGACTTAGATCGGGACTCTGCAGTTTGCAGACTTTTTTCAAAAAGTGACATGCGTTTCTTCTGCTCTATACGTTTTCTTACCGTCCTTTCCATCACATATTTTACAACAATTCAGAGAGTCGTAAGGAATAGCTTTTACACAATAGGTGAAGAAGCAGGGGGATTATTCCAATGGTCTTGCGAGTTTGGAGTATTTCATCTTCTTCAAAAGGGGAGGAAAAAAAAAAAAAAACCTGTGTCCTTGTGAGCAAATGATTAGAAGAAGACTGGGAATACAATAATTACCCCAAATGGAAACCCAGACCGCAGTCAAACAATACAGCTTTTGTAAACCGGCTCCGCCTGTAAAAAATCTAGGAAATCTCATAACTAGAGCTGGCGAAATCCTTTTCTTATGCAACGATATGTAAAAGGCTCCTGAGAAATGAGGAGTAAACATGGAAACGCTGTAAAATAGCATGAGAATGAACTTGCTCTGAGCATCGGAGATCGCCTTGGCGGTACCAGCATGGATTCCTTCAACCACAAAGTATTTTCTCATGTTAAAGAATTTGGGACAAATTACATTTCGTGACATTTCGCCAATAAACAAGCACGTGAAGACAAATAAACCGGGACTCGCCATAATCTACCTTGATCGTTGTGGAATTCAAGGGGGACCGAAGGAGTTGGGAGCGGCTTTGAATGAATGTCCTTTATGAGGGAGCAGAGAGAAGATCATTTATATCCTTCATATTTCATAGTTTTGCCTCTAGGAAAGAAAAGACCAGCGGAGCCCCGACTATCATTTACTCATAATGATCGCATTCAATCCACTGATTCACAGTGAATCATATAATAAGGTTTCCATTTTGCACATGGGGAGAAGAAGGAGGGGTGGTTAAACTTTGTTTAGTTCGCATTCATGCCCCCGGCCTCCTGTTTCCCTTGAACTGTCCAGTTCAAATGACTCACCCACGGGGCGATGCTTTTTTCGGTTTTTTCCTCTATTCCCCCCCCCCTTCGGTTACCTCCCCAGCAATAAAAAACCCTGGAAGGAAAGCTGACAGGTTAATTGTGCAGTTATTCATTTTCCTTCGGCAGCGTTTCATCCGAGCACGGATGAGGCTTTCGCGGCCTCTCGGGGCCGTGCCGTGCCGTGCCGTGCCGTGCCGTGCCGTGCCGCTCCGGCGCTGGCTCTGC